AAGTAGCTGGATTCACTACTAGGCTGAAAGATCACAGCTTTTAAAAGTGGGTCACACAAAAGTGTTTTTTCCTAATTCCTCAAACTTAAATACATGCATGCACACACACATGCGTATACACACATAGATCCAGACAAAATCAGATTAGAGAAGTTTTAGAAGCACAACCCTTGATCATGTGAAAGTCTACCTTGAGACATTAAGGATTCCAAAGGTAACTATGACATCAGGTCAATGAGGCTGCAGCTCCCTAATAGTGTAATCAGCAGATTGTAAATTTTTTGCACAATTCTAGTACAAAAGCTAGCCATTTAAAGGCGGTCCTATAATTTCAGGCCTTTTCTCCAAGTTCCAAAATACCAGAGATGACTATTATATCATATCAATGAAGAATAAGGAAGGCAAGTGACCAATTTTATGTCAAACATGGACAGTCAAGGGGATTTTCTGCTAAAGAGCTATACGAGAGAGCTAATAAAAGTTGTTCCCCCTTTCTTCCCCTCAAATGCCATTGTTAAACCTATAAACTAATAGGGTCAACTTTCAATATCTATTTTAAATCTTCCCCTTTATATATGTTAACATTAGTTTGCTACAAGAAGAGTAGTTAATGGCAGATGAGATACTAATTTTTACTTTATGGGACACACATCAAAAAGTGACTGTAAGCTAATTTATCAAAAGTGAAATAAAGTAGGACACCAGTAACTATTTCAAGAATTAATTTAAAATGTGATATATGCCACACATGCTGCATTACTCAGATTGTGTTATTAATTTAAATGTTTCTTAACTAATTATCAAGACTAAATGGAGAAGTTTTTACCCATTGTTTCTCTTCTCCCATCTCATGTCTCTTTATCCTTGTAAATACAATCAGGCCTCACTCAGAGCTCTGAATCTTCCATTTTCTCCCTGTTAATTCTTTAGTGTAATTAGCACGTTGGTCAGAAACACAGGAATACACAGCGGGATTTGGGATTTCATCACCTATTTTGGTAGGGCTCCTATCACTTCACCCTCAAACACCATTTTCATTTGCTTTGGGAGTTGCCTTTTTAAGTACAGAGGTTTAAATTACTAGCTCAGGTTTTATACAGTGGACACATAGTTGCTAGGGACTAGCACAGAATGTGTCAGCTGCGTGTGGTATTTGATCTTTCATGATACATTCCTGCACACCAACTCCAGGCAAACCGATCTGGGCTCAGGTAGTGGCAGCCTACCCTCATTCACAAGGGTTTCATTCTAACTGAGGTTGCAACAAAAAAACAAATAGAACGGAATGCCAAAACGTTTGAGGGGCTGCTGATGGGCGGGAGGAAACAAGGCTTTTGTGTTCTTGCCTCAAAAGGTACAGGTTTGAGGTGTATGTTTTAATACATCCTGTAATTTACACTGACTGACTAATTTTGAGGTAAGAATTACAATTTTCTTTTTTCGAGAAGTATGAGAATGGTGTTTTGAGGTTTTGAGTTTGCCTGTGCACAACTTTTCTAATTTGTTTATATTCTCTGCCCAAAGTTTTCAGCCTGTCATTCAAAAGGAAAAGTATTAAATAGGCAGGGCAGCACACAAAAAATGAAGGTATAGCTAAATGCCATAAAAGTCACTGAGCTTCTCAGTTGAGTAAAATTATATTCAAGGTCTGAGGATGCTCTCTCCACGTTGAACTGCCTACATCTGTCTGTTGCTACCAGCTGAATGAAATAGTGCGACACGCTTACTTCTTTTTCTTGTAATCAAATCAACCATGAGGTGTTTCATATTTTGGCAAAAATGACACTCTGCAAAAATAAATTATCTATACTTGTGTGGTCTAAATGTCTCTTTCTTGGATCTCTGTAGATGTAGCAGTGTTTCTGAGTATCACGCCAGTGCATAGTTTAGGTTTTTACACATACGAAGGAAGATGGAGACTCGAGGCAAAGATCAGCATAAATCATGTGGGAAATCTTACATCTGGCCTTAAATATCTGCATATTTTAAGCAAGAAACTTATTTCACCTTTATCTGAAAGTGGATTTAATTTTGGATTTTATTTCTCCACAGGCTCTATGTTACTAAAATATGACGAATTTGTAGATGTGTCATTATAAATTTTATCTCAAATAAATGAAATGCAGTGTGAATTCAAGTCCACGACTATTAGGATAAGAAAACATTCTCATTAAGGGCAAGTCTACAAATATTACATGAAATGAAGAATCGAGGCATTATCTGAATAATGCAAACTCCAAACAGTTACTCTTGAAACATGCACTGGGCCCAACTTACCTGGATAAGTATTTTAATGATTCACTTTCTTCATATCGATCCAACCTGACTGACTGTATCTGAATCGATTCACCCGTGGTTTGAGGGTCATTAAATATGGCGAACGTAACAAACAAGCATATCCCTCAGGCTTTCAGATTGGTATTTTCTGCATCCATCTTTGAAGCAGCAAAATCCCTACCAGGAGAGACTCTCTCATATAGGCCGAGAGGCAAGAGATCAGGTTCTTATGTCCTGTGCGCCATATAGAAAAGCTGATGGTTTTGGTGGTTTGGGCCATAAAATGAAAGTCATGTTTTTTCTTCTGTTCAGTCAGGGGAATGAGAAGTCCTGTGAGACAACAACAAGCAGAGCTACAAAGGAGAGCAGGACTAATGAAAAGAGGGTAACAGGCCTTCTCTGCCTGCTCCCACGTTGACGTGCCACCCTGGATAGCTCATTAGGGTACTCAGCAGAATACAAAGAGTCCTTGAAATAAGGCTTCCTTGTTCCAAAAGAGTGAATTCATCACCTCATGCATATCCAGGATAGGAAGCCTTTCTCCTTGGAGTCTGAATGAAATAACCTGTAATCATGTGTATGGAGATGTTGCTAAACATATTTGTAACCTCAAAGAGGTCCTCATTCATTGGAACAGGAACAAGCTCAGAAGAAATGGATTTTCCCAAGGGTACCACTTCTATTTAGTGTGTTAGTACCTTTGTAACCTATTGGACTGAGGACACTGTGGGAACAGTCTACAGAGACTTCACCCTTTACACAGAGAAAAGGAATCTAAAGGGATAGGAAGCTTGTGACAAAAAAAAAAAAAAGAACAAAAGTGACTCATGTAGGTCTAATGGAGCAGACACCTAACTAAGCAATAATTACAACTTCTCCATGATTCTGTCAGAGGGCCAGTCCCAGGCTGCATTTTGGCACAGAGTGTTAGCGTGTGAAAATAGAAGTCATTCTAAATAGAAGGGAAGCCCAGGAATTCGAGGTAGCATTCGTGACTGGATTACACTAATGGCAACACAGCCCTTTGACTTAGATGAACGATATTCACGTGTGTCTTGGCGATGCTGCTTTCCTCTTTTAGGTTTGAAGTTAAAAAGCTATAGGCTTAGTCTTACCTGCCAGAGAGAACAATGTGGCTGAAGTGACACAAGCCAGGAGAGCTTTCCTGAATAAAGGATGCTGTACTCAATTTACAATAGCTTGAAAATAACAGTGATTAGTAGAGGTGGTAGAGGAGGAGACATCCTGTAGCCTTGTGCTGAAAAACTGCAAACCTTTCGGGGCTAGTGAAAATTCCTGCAGAGCTTCTCTGGTTAAAGTGAAACGGAAGGACTTCAATCATGAGAGTGATCTCACTCACAAGGGTGAAATCTTGAGCGATAAAACAGGTACTTTAGGAAAAACGTCCTATCAATTTAATTTGAGACTGAGTTCAGCAACTGCTTTCGGGGGCTGGCTGCCCCAATATACAGTGATACACTGAGCAGTTCCTGTTTCTTCCTTGTTGAAGCCAGTAGTGAGTGCGAATGCTTGAGGAGAATAAGAATGCAGATTTCTACTTTACACGTCATTTTAGATTGAAAACTTCTTACAAGTATTATTGCTAAAAATAATTGTTTAGGTCAATATTGCTCAATTGGACTCATTTTTGGATAAGCTCCAAAGCACATCTATTGGGAAAGTAAGGCCCCTCTGCAAGAAGAGTTCGTCTGCAGCCTGGGTCAGGCGGCTCCTGCAGGAATTCCACCTCCAAGCCTACCCGTGCCCCTTGACGTCCAGGAAGGTTTGCAACCGAGCAGATGCTTTACATTAGCAAGTGGACAAGCTATTGGCTAATCCTTGGCACTTATTTATCAACATTCCTATACCAACTCCGCACACACACTCTTGAGGCCATGTGAAATATGACAGGATGAAATATTCAGTCATTATTTCTCAATTTACATTTTACCATAATTAAAAAGGAGGCATCAATGAAGACTCTAGATGTAACTCCAATTTTAAACTCCAGTTGAAGGTTCAGTTTTCATATTAAGAAAACCATAATTATCCAATCTTTAAAATATGTTGCTGCCTGAACATTGGGAAGACTGGAAGAACAAATTCAGTGCTGCTAAATGTGATATGTGTGCATGTATAACTTGGATAAAAATAAAGAGCAAATTTTAAGATATAAAAAAATAAATAAATGTGATATGTGTGGACACACATGCATACACACACATATATAGTATATAGATATGGATATAGGTCAATGTATGTGTATATTCAGATATGTAGATAGTAGAGATGTAGGTAGTTTTTTGTTACACGTAAACTTTAAATAACCAGAGATTCTACTTCAACTATGTGTTTTAAAGTGTGTCCAAGTGTGTAAAAAGGAAGAAAATCAGCAACCACTGATTATTTTTATGTAGTTTGTGTGAGCATTGGTGAGAAATCCTATTCTGACTAATGCCAGAACAATTAAAATATATTAGGTTTTAGATGTACAAATGTTTATCACGATCTGGCATTGTGAAAACAATAATACTAGGATCTATAAATGTAAACTTCCTGCTATTCGAGGAGGTATATAACTTTAAAAAATCGTAATTTTAAAGGATGTGACTTTGAGAATACAAATTTTTCCTGGCCCTTTCTAGCTTGATGACAAAGAAAGGTAGAAGTTTTTTTTTGCTTTTGTTTTGTTTTGTTTTGAAGAAATTCAATAGTTAGGGACTTCCCTGGTGGTCCAGTGGTTAAGACTCCACGCTCCCAACGCAGGGGTCCCAGGTTCGATCCCTGGTCAGGGAACTAAATCCCGCGTGCCGCAACTAAGACCCAGTGCAGCCAAATAAATCAATAAATATTTAAAAAAGAAAAGAAATTTAATAGTTAGAAGAACTGTGCCTACTGTCTGGTAGGTTTCGGATGTTTGAAAAGGAAACACACCAACTGATAGGAGGTACCTTTCTCAGTGACCCAAGAATCTACCTGGAGGAAACCAGGAAGACTAATGGAGATGAGCGTGGGAGCGTGATGTGTGACTTGTGTAAAGCAGAAGGAAGAAAGGAGCCTATATTCTCAATTATCTTCCATCACACAAACACATGGCCCCAAGAAAGAGACACAACAGGATCATATCAGGAAAAAGCCACAAACCCAGAACTCCATTTTTGGCAGGGAAGGAGAAATCCTGATCCCTTGCTAAACTGACAAAGTGGCTGGAGATAGCTGAATGTTTTTAACATAGAGAATTATCTCAAGCAGTGTTTTTATTAAAATCAACTCCAAGATTAATGAAAGATATTTTAAATGCCTAAAATCCTAAGATTCTCTTTGGATGTGTTCATTTTGGGGGTGATTTTCCTAACCAATCATAAAGTTTTTAAGTACAAAACTGAATTTAAACCCAGCTGATTAGAATAGTGGGCTAGAAGCACATATACTTTGGAATCTACCTCTTATTACTAATACATTCAAGTATAGGAACATTATAACATGCAAGGTCTTCCAACTAAAAGAGCTTTCCTGTAGGTATCTAATTTAGAGACAGTATTGTTAACAATGTTGACATTTAAGTGGCCAAAGCTAAAGCTTTGCAAAGAACATTCCATTACAATAAATGTGAAAACCTACAGCTTTTCTTGGTGTTGAACTTAACGGAATATAAGTATGTTGGTTGACAGTGTGAAGGTTGAAATGACTTTCATAACTAGAAAGTTTACCTGATAATTTGAACAAAAGGGCCTCTTAGAGAAAAGTCTTCGATACAATGGAACTACAATAGCAATGGAAGATTTATGGCACATGAGTCTACTTTCTGAGTTCTGCATCTGAGACCAGGGTTAGTTATACAAGCTCACACTTTCTCCTTCATAGAACTAGGCCACTTTCAAGACTCCAGCCCTAGTCTGCTACAAAACTAGTCTAATTGGATGCCACATCAGATTAAACAAACATTTCTATACCTGAGTGGACCATACCATCCACGAGTCCCTCCCCTGACCCCAAAAAAGAAAATCCAAACTTCTTTCCTTTCTGACTTCTCTGTATTCCAGTTGGATCAGCTGACAAGTACAATCTGTTTTTAATTTTTCGTAATACTCACTTCCTAACCTTTTATCCATGACTGCCATTATACTCAAGTCATACCTAAACTGTTGATATTCTTCTGAGAAGTTTTTCTGTCTTTCTCCACTCTATTGAGCTCAAGACTTCACTGACAAGTTAATCCCCCAGAACTTCACTTTTAGTTGGCAACTCTTTTGCTAAAAACCCTCAATGTCTGTTCACTCCCTCCTAAGCCTGGGAAACAGTGACTCCCACAAGCAACTGATTTCCTATTTCTTCTCATCACCACGGTCTGAGTCTCTGAAAATGCCTGGTCAACCCAGTTCTCCTTCTTTACACAGGCCATTACCCTCTCCTTTCTCATCCTCTTTGTTTTCAGTATCTCACTTGGGTACCAGTTCCTCCACAGATATTTCACTGACATCATCAGTTCCATCTGTCTTCTACCTTACTTCGTATATAAGCTTCATCAGGGCAGACTTTGCAACTCAGAGATTACCTGTGGGGCTTCAGCCACAGGAATTCATCAATATTTCTAATTTGTTCATTTTAACAAATGAACAAATTTGTTTTCCTCTAAACAAATATTTACAGGAAAACATTTTATGCTATCATGATTTCAAAAAGCAGTGAGATCCTAAAAATTCATGTAAAATGGAATTACTGATTAAATCACATATTTAACATAGAGTAGGGGTGAGTGATTAAAGGAAGTCTGTAACAAATCATTTTAACAACAAAAATTAATTTGTAATATTAATAATCATTAGCAGATAAATTTGGTTTGCTAAAAATTTAAATATTCACAAATAAGTTTTTAAAAATACTGGGTCACGGGAATGCCTTGGCAGTCCAGGGGTTAGGACTCTGCGCTCTCACTGCAGAGGACCCGAGTTCAATCCCTGGTCGGGGAACTAAAATCCCACAGGCCGTGTGGCACAGCAAAAAAAGAAAAAAGAAAAACAAAGATACTAGGTCATGATTTATAATATTCAACAACTGCATGATTTGATTAAGTTTGGGAGTTAAGCAAATACTTTCTAGGATAAATTATTATTCAGCAGAAAGAAATTATAAGATTTTAAATTAACTTTTAATTTTAACAATTTTAATGATATTAAGATCCTATTTAGTAATTTTAATGACAACAAAAATTAACATTTGTATAATACTTAGCAAATTTTTTAAAAAATCTACTTTCAAATACATTATGTAAGTTGGCCTTCATAACAACATTTTAGGATAAGTAATGAATAGGATTCCTATTTTAGAGATGAAAAAAACTAAAGTTTTTTCATATATTCATAAACTGATTTGATTCTCAACACTGAAGGCTGGTTGTTCCCATTCTTTATCTTAGAGAAGAAGCAATTGAAGTTGTGAGAGGTCAAGTAACATATCCATGGTCACCAGGTTGGTAAATAGCACAGTTGGTATTTATAAATTCCAGTCTGTCCAACTCCAAAGTCTCTGTCTTTCTATACTTCTTCTAACACATGTCATGATATAGCACAAAGAGCACATACCATGACTGGAACAAAAATATTTTTTATTGAGTGTCTACTTAATATATCAGACTGTCATTTATCTTAACTATAATCCTTTTAAGTAGTTTTATTTAGAAAAAGACTCTTTACACTTAATGTATGTCAGTAGACATACATCTACATTAGTAGATGGGAATAAAAGTTTGAAAATACTTTACAGACAACAAAACAGTTTGAGTAAATAAAATGTCCATTCTATGAATAAGTAGGAGATAGGATTTGAAACCATGTCTATAAGAATCCAAAGAAATAATTCATACAAAATCTTCCTTCTAGATCTAATTTTTGCCAAAAGAAAATATAAAATTCACAGCTATTTTATAACTTTGTTAAAATTCTCACAGATATAATTTTCATGATTTTTTTTGCATGAGACAATTATAAATTATGAGCCTATAAAGCATGATTCCCCATTAAATATTATGTTGAGAAAGTAATAACTGGATTCTCTTTTCTCCCTTGACTATTCCAGGACCACCCACCTAGTCTGGTGTTGAAAATTATTCTTTGTTGGCAAAACTTCTTTGCACATAACTTTAATTAGACTATCATCCTAAAGTTATAGTGGTTTAACCACACTGGATTTTATATTACTATATTAGATACAGAAAGGAACATCATTCTGCATGCAAAGTCTTTGCATCACAAAACACAATATGTAGAGGGGAAAAAAAACATTCTTTTTGAGCTTTGCCAACTTTCTTGGCACACAGTTTTAAACGTGAAAAGGTCAAATTATGTTAGTGTGCCTCAACAGCCAGTAAAATATATTTTTTCTGTGGTGAGATCACATTGTATACGTATCTCTTAAAAAACCAGAAAATAGTTGTATTTGTGTAAAAAGAACACAAATAAGAGGAAAACACGCTTGGATTGTAATTCTGATTCTATCAAAAACTTGCTGCATGACTTGAAGCAAGAAAACTCTCTGAGCCTGTTTCCTTTTTTTTTTTTTTTAATAAGATACATGTGGCGTTAAGTTCTACCCATGTGAAAATGCAGGGTATCTACCTTAAAAATAGACCTTAATACTAAGAAATCCACCATGCTTTTTTAGAACGAGCACCATATAACTATTTGGTTTACGTTAGTCTTCTAGTAAGTGAGACACAGCTGAGTAGCTAAAGAAGCAGAGAAGAGGCCAAGACAGGAAATGCTTTTTCCAGTTCTTTCTACACAATATTAAGTGACCATGGGCAGGTTATTCAGATTCTCTCTTTCCCGTTTGTCCTTCTGTGGTATCAGGGAGCTGTCAGAATTTCTTTTTATTTTTCATTTCTCACAAACTTGGAAAAAAGAAGTCTCTTGAAAACTCCAAATAGCCTCATCAGTAATTTTACAACAATTAAAATCAGGTAATATAAGAATTTTTTTTTTAACATTTCAGTGGCCAGAAAGCTTTAGACTAGAGTAAAATAAATCAACTCAACTGAATGAGAAATTTTAAAAAATCAAATTGGCCATTTCATATTGTATAGACCTCCTAACACGATTGATTTACTGACTTGTACACAGGGTTTGTATTTATTTATTTCCTTCTTCCCCCTTAAAGCCAGCCCTCCCACTAAGGGCAGATGCCTCTGGTACCCATGTCCTCAGTCTCGACCATTTCTGTGCATATTGGCCTGACTTACCGCTGCCAGCATCTCTTCACTTGAGGGCTTTCCTGACCAGCAAGGGCTATTCCTCCGCGGCTGGTAGCAGACTGGGAATGCCTAAGAATTAATGGTCCTCCTGAGTAGCCCTCATCCAAGATCATGCAAACACCTGAGCCCCCTCTGAGGCATGGGTTCTACACTTTTCCCAGTGTTCTCTAGTGGATTGAGCTCTGGTTGCCCATACCCTTTATCGAATGCCTTCCCTGCTTTGTTCCACTTTCCTACTTCCCTAGGGTGTTTTCTGGGATCACCTACCAAATAAACTATTTAGAAACGAATCTCTGTTTCAGGATTTATTTCTGGGGAAACCCAAACTATGCAGTGTCAGCTGTAGAAGAGCCTACGATGGGCTACGTTATAGGTTGATTTATGTCCCCCACTCTGCCCCCCAAATATGTTGAAGTCCTAATCTGCAGTACCTAGGAATGAGATCGTCTTGAAGTCTCAACCCCCAGTACTCCAGAATGTGACCTTATTTGGAAATAGGGATGTTGCAGATGTAATTAGTTAGATTAGTTAAGATGAAGTCATTAAG